CACTCGTTGCTGCTCTTCAAGGCATACATTATGCTGCTTGAACGTTTGGTTTACGCTAAGAATTCCTTAGTATCATTAGGCAACCTTTCGAGCGTCATTGAAGCCAAGATAGATCTTTCCATGAACATAAATTCTGTAGAAAGCTGTAATTTTTTCATTTTCTTTATCAAACTCGAGTTGAGTTTCACTATGTTGCATACCGGCACATCGGGGACTTTAACCCCCTCGAATTGCTCATCCGAAAATCCGCCAATGATTTAAGGTTATGTACTTTATGTTTATATGAGTATGTTTCGTATGTATGCTTTCGTTACAATTATAATACAATATATAAGTATTTATATACATTAGAGTGGTCCAATTTTTGTATGGGGGAAAAAAAATTCATCCTAGAAAACGGGGCACCCCATTACTTTTTTCCTTTTGATATTTTTAACATCTAAACAAACTTTCAGTTTCCTAAAGCAACCATTACAGGGTTCTCAATGGCCTTGAAATGCGCCACTCGATCGTTATGAAACTGGCAAAAATATTGGTGATTTTTATAAAAAGCGACTGTTGCCATGACACCTGAAGCTTGTGGTATTTTGTTTAGATAATTTAAATGAGAAATATTCTTAGGTTACTTAACCAATTTTTTTATTAATATACATACATATTGTATATGTACACAATACTTCTAGAGTTAACTGTGACCGCCATGAGCATCCTCTAAATTTTTACTTAGAAACGTAAAATTTGGTACCAGCACCTCTTTCGGCAAGGGGAAAAATTTTGGAAGGTCCCCCGAACCTCGCAAAAAATTTTTTGGACCACTCTACTATACATACATATATGTATAAAGTAATATATTGCTTCAGCTGTGGTCGTATGCATTTCGTGCCGGGTTAAGAAGGAGGTTGTGTATCTTGTCGCTTGTTTTTTGATACGATGAATCATTTTGAGTTTGGGAAGTTAACACTAAGCGTTAACGACATTGGCACAACAATGACGATTCTGAAATGAACTCTCTTGTCAATTCGAGTATGTAATTTGCATGCATATGTACATAAAGTGTGTAAGTATGTTCATATCTGGATATTATTATGTAAATTTACTTACATATGTGTATGTTTATACATATGCCCAGCAAATAACACGATAACCACAGAAATTAAAATCGAATCGAACTAACTAGGCGATGGGAATCGCTTACCCTTTCGCTTCAAGAAGCCATTCACTCTCATTGCGAGAGTCGTGTCGAATGCAAGTCATTTTTCGAGAGTCAAATCGTATCGAAATTTTCACGTCATTCCTAATACATTAAAACGGAAAAACTTGGCAGCACTGCACAGTTTTCGACGATTTTTGTCGTTTACTTATTTCAGCACAACAGTAGACAATGCCAATGTTGTCGAGTCGTAAAATTTAGCCTAATTTACGACTTGCGCAATGAGGCTGGTTATTTTAACATGGGCATGTCATTGGCCGTAATCTCTTACCCTCCGCATTACCTTCGAACGAAGGAAGAACGCATGGATAAACAGAATCCAAAGAAGCGAACAATTAATGCCTAGATGTGCACATTAGGGTGGTCCAAAATGCATGTGGAAAAAGTGAAATCGGAATTTTTAAGCTCTCATCCGCTAGAATTTTTCTATACCGAAAACAATATACCCCTATTTTTTTAATTAAAAAGTTTTAGAGGTAGCTCAAAGCGCCCAAAGTTTTGAATATATTTTATATGGGAAAACCCCTTTTCGTAGAGATGGTATAGAATTCTTAAAAATCAATACTTTTCCTTTATATTTTACGTTTTCTTATCTGCAGGAGATTCCCTTAATAATACCCAATTATTTAAAGTCTCCTGAAGAGAACCAGAGTTTTCCGGTCGAAAAATATTGATTTTTAAGAATGCTACCCTTTTTCAACGAAAAGTTTTTATTTTCCCATATAAACATACATGGAAAACTTTGAGCGCGTTGAGCGACCTCTAAATATTTTTTGATTTCAAAATAAATTTTCGATATAGAACAATCCTAAGGGTGAGAGCTTTACAATTCCGACTCTACTCATGGACCACCCTCATGTACATACGTACATACAGTGGCGGATTTAAATATTTGCCGCCCCTAGGCAATTCATAACTTGCCGCCCTTTTTTCACGAAAAAAAAAATATATATATATATCAAATATGATTGTTATTGTCAGTGCTTTATTACAATATAGTTCGTTAATAATGAAATACATAACGGAATTAACAAAATTTTAGATGATTCTCGTTCTCGGGGCAGCGTGTCGGCTGTTTCTTTGCGTCACGCGCAGGCGCGCCGTCAGGTTTCTAAGCCGCGTGAATGAAAGTTAAATGGAAATTTCAACGACTGCTATACTAAGGAAAAATTCGCAGCGTAATTCTAATTTTGAATTGTATTGAATGAGATGAATCATTAATAATATTTTACAGACACAAACACAATTTCAAGTGCAGCTGAATCCAAATAAATTTTTTTCTTTTAATTTAGCTGTCTTAAATTTTGCCGCCCCTTAATTCTGCCGCCCTAGGCTTCAGCCTATGTTGCCTGTACGATAAATCCGCCACTGCATACATATATTAAATTGAAAACAGTAAATACAGATTGTCTTAAAAGATTAAAACTAATAGGGCTTTCGCACTAGGCAAATTTTCAAGCAACTTTTGCGTTCAACTCACGCAGGGTTGCACGAAAAAAAAATTCAATGGCTAAAAATATCAAAATATTTAACAAATATCAAAATATTCGCCATAAAAAGGCGTTTGCATTGTTCAACTTTGCATTCTACTTTTGGTTGAACGGCCTTTTAACTAATCGCTTTCAACAAAGTTGGTCGCCAGGAAACATTTAGCCATTCAACTTTTTTTTCGTGCAACCCTGCGTGAGTTGTACGCAAATGTTGAACGCAAATCGCCGCGTGTGAACACCTTTTGACTCTTTGGCATATACATATTTCTCGTTGATTATTTGTAATTAAACTTTTTAACCGACTTCCAAAAAAGGAGGAGGTTATCAGTTCGTCGGAATATTTTTTAATTTTTTTATTTTATATTTGTATTTTTTATGTATGTTACCGCATAACTTTGGACCACGTCAACCGATTTCGATAACTCTTTTTGCATCGGAAAGGTAGTGTCTCAGAGGTGGTCCCATACTTATCTGGTTTAGATCCGATCATTGGATCATGAAATATATATGTATTTTTTTTAGTCGGTTTTTTTTTGCTAAAAATTACTCGTTATAAATCAGTTTTTATACATACATACATATAGTATGTATTTAGATCTCACTTAAAAATCGGTACATACATATTTAATTAAACTTAAAATTGTACATCCCCACATATGTACTTCACTTTATTGACTGACTTCAGCTTCGATGTAAATTAAACATGATTTTTATGCAATGGAAATTTCCACAGAAAGTAACGGGAGAAGAAGAATTTTTGGGTATTAGTTCAATCTTTCAGCTGATTACGATGATGCATTCTACCTTGCATTCCACGTAATGAATCAAGAAAGCGAAAAAAAATATTGTAGGCCGTTCTACTTTGCATTACCGGCAATGCCCAAAAGAAGTGAAACAAATTAGAAGGCATTAAAGGCAAGAGCACGTTACCGTTAAAAGCGATTACCGATTTTTTGCTGGCCGTATGCATGTACATATCGTCACCTGAAATGCAAAAAGACGAAACAACATCATCGCTGACATGCAAAAACTCATAACTAATAAAAAATTCAAAATTCACTTTTTGATTTATATGATAGATTTCATCGAATCAGAACTCCTAACATCATTTTATAAAAAAAAATGTTAGTCACGACTTTTTCATTTCAGTTGCGATGTTGTTACGTCTTTTTGCATTTCAGGTAACGATATGTACATATGTACATTAGACTGCATCACTCCCCATACAAAAAAAAACGGTACTATTTTTCCATTGGAATTATAAAATCTATTATATGTTAAGACGTCCACCAAAACATTTCGGGAAAATATTAAGATTTAAGCGAGCTGGACCGATTTAAAAATACCTCCAAAAATGGAGTTTTGTATGAAAAAATTCCCTCAAATGACAAAACGGTTTAAGCTTACAAAATTTACATAAGAATATTAAAAAAAAAAAAAAATTGAACGGAATCGTAATAATGAGATTTTTGATGCTGTTTTTTAACTTTTATCGAAGATTGGTACATATAAGAAAAACTTAATAACTGAACCTAAACTCTTCTTTGCTAATAAATAAGCTCATTGAAAAGGTGAAAGAGAAAGGTAAGATGAACGAACGTCATTCAAAGTTGAATTAAGATGTGTTGGTATTTGAAAAAAAAAAAAAATTGGGACACGAATGACTTTTTTTTTTGCACATAAATAAAAATAGAGGGAAAGTACCTTTCTACAGAGATCCCATAAGTCTAAATCAGAATAGTTTTGGTCCAGTTATTTAAGTCTTTCGTAAATCAATATTTGAAAAAAGTAAAAAAAACTGCACCAAAAATCTCATTATGTATTATGATTCCGTTGAAAAGACTTTTTCAAAAAGTTCTTTAAGAAACTATTTTTATTCATAAAAACTTCATTTTTGGAGGTATTTTCAAATCGGTCCAGCTCGCTTCAATCTTAATATTTTTCCGAAATATTTTGGTGGACGTTTTAAAATATAATAGATTTTGTATTTTTTTGGTGATGCAGTCTAATGTACATATTTGCCTGCCGAGTTCAAAAAAGAATTTTTTTAATACGTTCGTGTTGGAGAATTTGGATGCGCGAGTTAAAATTTGTGCAACCTATGTATGTACATACGTATGTACATACATACGTATTTAAGTCATTTAAGCCGTACACCTGACTTCAACAGCCTAACGTCTCTGCAAATAGCAGTAAAAGATAACAGTAGCAGCAGCCAAACTACTGTAAGTTTTGAGAATAAACGACGAGAACGAGCGAATAACAGTGCAGCAAACGCAACGAATGCGGCAGCGCAATGTAACAATCTCGCACGCCAAAGAGCCTACATGCAACATCTGCTCCTTGCCAAACGAACAGTTCGAGTCAGTCGCCAGTCGCCACAAGAGTTCCCGAATAATTCGGCAGTTAATAGTGCAAGAAGCAGCTAAACATCCTCATATTTGGGATTTACAACACAGCATTATTTAAGTCCGTGTGCATTGAAACCTCGATGAAAGTTGCAAAACTGGAAAATTAATAGGCGGTTAAAGTGTGCTAAAATATTGTTATCAATATTGTCTTTAGAAAAACTTTATTTAAATTTGAGCTGGTTGTGAGTTGAATGAATCATTTCATCGATTGGGAAGGAAATTAAGCAAAACGAGCTTTTTGGGACGAATTCGAATACCAAAATTTGCTAAAACCCCGTTAAATCATTAACTTTTCACCATTAGAAAGATATTAAAATAAAAATCGATTGATTGCCAGAGTCTGTGAGATTTTCTTCCACTTTAATTGTGTGTTCAGTGCGCAGCACTGAAAATTCGATAAAACCCACACAAGAATTCGGAAAGGGAAAACGCGAACAACAGAGGCTCGTGTGAATAAATTCCACGGCGTGTGACTACCTACCTTTTATATATATACATACGTACATACCTACCCATATGAGTGGCGGCTGCTCGCCAATGCACACAAGGAAAAGTCGCATATAGTAATCTCAAAAAGGTACAACAACAACGACGGCGACAACAACGCATTTGCAGCAGCTGTTACGGCAACTGCAACAAAATACGAATACGACAAAAGCCTAAGCAAGCTGGCGATAGAATTGTTCATCATAAGCAGACCATTATTATTGGCACGAGAAGTCTGCTCGGACGGATATTGAAAAATTCATAGCAGACAAGAATAAACCGAAAGGTCAAATAATTAATAAAAATAAAGACGTGCTCGTGCTTAAAGAAACTATTGAAATAATTATAGGACTACTTTCGGTAAAGTGTTTGTATAAATAGACATTTAACTGTATAGAATACTAAAATAATCGTTTCAGTTTGAACGGGGTTTGGCCGGTGGAGGTGCTCCGGGGGGCAACACAAGGCGTAATATCCGCTCAAATAAAGCGAGTTTATAGTTGAGAATTTGAAAAACTAAATCGACGGAAATGTACGAAATTTGTGTAATCAACAATTAAAAATATATCCGTTATATAATTATAAATCTAAATATTAAATATTATTTGAACATGCAAAAATTTAATCATATTTGACTTAAAACAAGATTCGCCTCCCGTCATCTCCAACTGAAAAGGCCGACCCAACTAATAAATATAAATTTCAAAACGTTATGATATGGACAAAACTAAAATTAAAGAATAAGCTTTTAATTTAACTACAAAAATAAATAAAAAATTTATTTAAAAAACAATATATAATACTTACATATATAAAAAATTATAACAAAGATTAAGGACAAAACCCCTAATTGAAAAATAATTGAAATCTGTGATTATCTTAATTTAACAACTGCACTTCTTTCAAAAAGAAATAAAAAGTTTAGACATATATATAATAGTAATAATAGCTATTATTTTCACTAATCGCCTTTTTACGCGTCTTTATAAATGAAAAATTAAATAATTATACTATTTCGGTAAAAACTTAAATTAATAATAACGGGCAAATTAACGTGAATTCAAATAGCATAAGCAGGAGCAAATTAAAAATAGTATTTGGACATATACTTTTACACAAGCCCGTTGGACTTTATTTGTTTGTAAGTACAACATTATTAATACAACAATATACACACTTCTCCCTGTTTAGATACATATGTACATATCGTCGTTTTAAGTACAAAACTGCGTATTGTCATTCTACAAAACCGCGTAACTGACATTTTTGCCAAAATTTGGATTTGCTCACACAAGCTCTTGGCTCAAGCCTTATCTATTGGTCCTCAAATATACTAGCCAGAAATGTGATTGCTTTGTAAAAAAGAGAACCGTTCTAAATATGAGTGTTTTTTCTCTGTATAAAATAATTGCTGCAACCTCACATACGCGGTCTTGCATTATCTTGATACGCGGTTTTGTACTTTAAACAACGATATGTATGTATGTATGTAAATGCATATGAACATACATAGCACATACATATCGTTACCTTAATATAGAAAGGCCCTATCTCACATAGTCGCTGAAATACAAAAGGCCGTTACTAAGTAAGAATCCAAAATTCCCTTTTTGATTGATTACACCGACACACACAAAAAAAAGCTGTTTGTACATCCGACACCACCTACCTACCGGCATGTATTTTGACCCCCTGAATCCGAATTTTAAGTCAGTTTGGGCCGTACACCCTTCAATATCGAGTAAATTGTAAAAATAGCTAAAATGGGATAATTGGTAATAAAAAAAATGTATTAATCTAAACCAAGCATAATTCTTATGTATTTTGATCCGCTGAATATAAATCTGAAGTGTACTTAGACCATAAAGCGTTCTAAATCTTAAAAAATTTTAAAATAAACCTTGAAAAATGTTAAAAAGAGCAAAAAAATTGCAATATGTCTAAAAAATTATGTATAAACCGAATAAGGGGAAAGTTTTTTTTCTGATGTTTTTGTGTCAACATGAGATAACATCGACCCCAAACATATTTTGTTTGTCCCTTTTCTTTGATTAAAAATTGTATATACACATTTTGATAATTTTTTCATAAAAAATATTTTGTTTCTTACATATTTAAAAATGCTTTTAGTATTTACCTACTTTTCAAAGGCGCTTAAAATTTACATCTCTGGCAAGATTTTGACTGATTTCATCCTTTTTATTATGTCAAAATTTGTCCGAAAAAATGTCCAGAAATAGCAGCAATTAGTAGTAGCTTAGCATTTGGTACAGAATTTTTCAAATCAGCACACAAAAAAATTTTGGTCATATAAGTATATGCTTTGTGTCTTTAGCGATAGCTCTCAGAGTCAAAAATAAGTCTTCGAAAAAAAAGTTGAAGATAATTTTTTTTTTTTAATTCATTGTTCTTCGACGATGTAAATAAATTGAACAAAAAATACCACGAATGAAAGATAATTGACTAAATTTTAGTATACTTATGTAAAATAAAAAAAAAAATATTTTTTATAGTTTTTTTAATATATCCTTTTAAAGGACAATTAGTTTTTAACAATGTTCTCCGCCTAGCAGAAATTTACAAACTGCAAACTGAATACCGAAGAGAAAAAAATGGAGACTATTGCGGTTTAGGTGGAATAACAAAAACAAAACACTCATACGAATAAAAAGTTCAAATTTCACGATTTGGCTTTACATATTTTATATTATTTGGCATACATATGAACTCAAAAAACCATGCAGATTCAAATAGCCCTAAAGTCAAATCAAATCGAAAATGCTATCTATAGCTCGCTAAAAAGCGTGGAATTACAAAGATACTGCACTGGTACATCTGATGCATTTTCTGCTGAGCAAATCCGTTAACGCACAGACTAAAATTTAATAATTTTTGCCTCTGAGAGCTATCGTTTAAGACACAATACTTATATGACCAAAATTTTTTTGTGTGCTGATTTGAAAATTTCCCCAAGTTATTTGTGTAAAATTCATTTTCGTAGCTCCCGGTACAAACAAATTATCTGCGATAATTTATATACAAGCTTAAAAGGCTAAACTTTGTTGTAACAATTGTTATCTACTAATGCTGCTTTTGAGTTATATTGATGTAAGTACTTTTTTAACTGCAATTTTCTTTTCATAATATGTAAATGCAAAATATGCATATTGCGTATTTTTAATATATCCTTCAACAATAGGTTTCTATTTTAATAGAATTTTTTTTTGGCAGAAAATGATCTCCATTAGCAATTTATTAAAAATAATGCGGCATATTCATAGATAAAATAAAGTAGAGTCTAATGCAAGTTGCAGGTTTTTTGACAGATTCTATTGAAAATTATGTCAAAAAGCTATAACTTGCCCAAGAGTCGATTTTGTTTCGACTATGAATATGCCTCAAAAAGTTTCTTTATATACATGGTATAAAAGATTTGAATTACTTGAAGACACTTTTTTTCGGCTGTGACACTTTTTTTGCGACTTTCGAAAAATTTTCAGCGGTAACACTATAGCCAGTTCCGTGGCTTCTGGAAAACTCCGATGTATCTTTTACGTGCGCATCCCTAGGGAGATAGAATCCCACTGCTCATTTATATCCGGTCGACGAAGAGTTTCTTGCTTAAGTAGGATTGAGAGTCGATTGCGAAATTTCTCGACTGTCTGTTGCGGCTGCAGCTTATCGACATCGAACTTTCGCCGCTTTTCCTGACCCACGTTCTTCCGAGGCGAATTCATATAAGGTGGTGTTGTAAGATCAGCTGGTTTCTCCCCCTTCCATGTATTCTGTTTTTTGCTGTTACTGATTTGACAGCACACCCATCAACAGCAAAAACAAAATGCATGTAAACTTTGGGGCGAATTGAGATATAACATCCAAATACTTGTGGTTATTGTTGTTGTAATCTAAATTCGCCAGTAATACCACCTTGTATAAATTCGCCTTACGTTCTTTAATGCACAGAGGCGCATGCGGACCTTGTCTGCAACAAGGTAGTGTCCGAGTCTATGTTGGATCCTCGTACAGAACGCATATCAAGAACACTCGAAGCGTATCTTCCGTACGTCACAACATGAACAATTTAGTTCGTCGTTCTTTGATAAGGGTACACCCTAACGGCTTTGTGGATGTTTCGATGATGGTGTCTGGCATTAAAATATCCCAGAACGATTTTAACATTTTGGTGGGGGTTTCTCTAAGCTCTCCTTCTCCTCCGTCGTGCGCACAAATGAGGCTTATGTTGTTGAATTTAGCTTTGGTGCGGATTATGGCGATTCGTCCACTGATGCAAGTGAACCTTGAGACGAGGTGTCGTAGTCCCCTCCCAACCACAAATCCCACACCAAATTTGTGCGCTGTCTCATGGCAGTTGTAGTAGATGTCAGCAGCTGCATATTTCATGCAGATGTGTCCCGTCCATCGCATTTCCTGGATTGCAGATGTCAGCCCTTTATCTTGCGAGGACATCCAGCAATTGGATAGCGGCACCTCCCCTATAGAGGGTCCGGATATTCAAAGTAAATATGCGTAAATCATGGTCCTTATTTCGTGAGCGAGGATCGTCAACGTTTGGGGGTGGGGGGCAGTCTGATATTTTAATTGGAAGGCGTATTTACCTGCGGGTCCCAATTCCAGCACACAACCATTGCCAGGATGAGTTGTTTTCAACTGGATACACGTTTACATACATAGCGAGCCGCTTGCTCCAAGACAGATATCCGCTTGCAGCCGAGCGTACTGGTGAACATACCCAGCAGACTATGAGAGTATATGTAAATTCAAAACTGTAAATCCGTTTTTCTCGAGTTTCCCTTTTTTGAGCTAAGTATGACACTATTGAGGTAAATGAGTAATATACTTGTATGCATTCAACTTTAAATAAAAGCCTGACGCAGCATTTTATTTCAATTTGTTGCAAAAGGCACATACAAGACTTCGTACTCCATTTGCATAGCATGTGCTCAAAAATGTTTGTTGCGTTTCCTGAGATTTTGAGTCAATACACTTTTGGAGAGCGTGTGCAACCTGCCCATACTTTTATATATTCGAATAGATATAAACACTAAGCGTAAGACTCCCTTTTCTAACTTATTATCTGGACTTTTACGAACTAGTCTTTGCGACAGCTATACTCAGTCCTTCTTACCACCAAAAGCTATAACCGTGCCACTAAACAGAGCTTAGAAAAATAAGATTCGCCTTAACTTTATACTTACTTATTTGTTTCTTACGACAGGCTGGGCAGATGAAATTCATTTCGTAGGACAAATATGACAGTTATTGCAAAAATCTGAAACCGATTTGCTTCGAAATTAAATTGGAAATTCATTACAAAATACATCAGCTGTATGGTTCGCCAGAGACCTACTACAAGGTTTTTTCACACATTCCAACCCATTTTTGTATAAATGGTGGGGCACCTTCATATTTTTCTATGAACGTCTATGTTTTCAAAACAATTCGAGCAATTCGGAAAGATTTTATCTGCCTCTTTACAATTTTTCGTTGCACTTGTGCATGCCAGTCAGTTCTGCTTCTTGCTTTTACCATTTTCAGACAGTTTAATAATTCTGAATGTCATTTCCTTGTGTTTTTCGGCCACTGTAGTGCAGAAAAGAAAAATAACATATGTATGCATATGTACGTACCTACTTATGTACACCTAGATTCAAACATATCGTCAGCAATGATTAGCAATGGCACAAGTGACAGATTTTGGAAACTTTTTTTATTTCAAATAGCCAATTCAATAAATATTCTACAAGAGATATCAATGGGTTTCCGAAGTTTGCAAAAGGTGTCATTCGACATCGCTTTCTTTGACTAGCTATTTTTCTTGGCGATCGGAATTTTTAAACGTGATCATTCTACAGGAAATTAAAAGTTTTGTATAGTTGCCAGTATGGTTATCGGTGTTAGATCATTTTGCCCCATGCATTTTGTTTCTGTGACACCGAACACCGAGTTACCGTTCGATCATTTGCCCCACGTATTTTGCTTCTGTAAAATAATGTTACCCAAACAAAAGTGCATGGGGCAAAATTATTTGAAAAATTACTGAACATCGAGTTACCGAGTACCAAGCTCGATGTGAAGACCCCTAGTGTTTTTTCAGGCTCATTATTTTAAGAGCAAATGTTC